ATTGTTTCAGAAATAAGCCACAGAAGCTGTTCTTAAGGCTCAGCTACGAGGGGCAGATATAGGAAATGTACATTAAATTAACACGCAAAGTAGAATCATTACAGAGAAGGAAGCAAGCACAGATCTCGAAGCACGAACAAGGAGCCAACTCATGCAGTGGATGCTGATTCCCTGAATACCTTCAAGTGGGAGCCGGAGCTGGATCTGTTCCTGATAAGGACCGGGACCACCTTGGACAAAACATCATATGTTGCCTGAAGTTAATCAGGGCTACAGTGATCTTCTGAACGAACTTGCAGTACCTAGACACATTGGATAACTCCCCCACCAAACTGGCCTGCATTTTTCAAGAGATCCCATAGTGTGACATACACAAGACACCACACAGCTGTGGTGCATCGGTTAGAGAGAACGGAAGAGATTTTTCCAATCTGAATCTCCAGCTATTTGCCACTATTTTCTTTCGACCTCTTCGACCAAACTTTGTCTCCTTTTCCAATACCTTGTTCAATGGCTCAGGATCAACTTTTGTCTGATTACAATCTTACGTACATCCATTGTAAGATGGGAAAATTGGCAAACTCAGTGGCTGCTCTCTGCCGCTATATTGAGAAATCTTGGAAAATGCTCATGTTAGGAAAAGTGCCAAGTCCCATAGTCAACATAATAAGAAGTATTCTTGACAGGAGACTCACTGAATGCCATCATTTCAACAAAATCTCCACTCCGGGTAAATTTTCATGTCAAGTTTAATCTGGAAATTGAAATTTCCAAATTATAGCAGCAGCATTTCACAGACTAACCTTTTATTTATGGGACTGTAGAATTATACAGCACAATTGACAGTCACTTGGGCACCTGTGTCAGCTCTTTGCTTGAACTATCCATTGAATCTCACCACCTCTGCTCTTCCTCTACCATGATACACACTGACTTACTGTTTAGAAAGGTACTTCCAGCCTTATTACATGAACAGCATATTCCCCGTTTCAAGATTCCACATGGGATTTCCTGTTCCTGGCTCCAGAAAAAAGCTAAATTGGCATTTGCCGAGATGATTGGATTTACCATAATAACAAGCGAGTTGTGGTGAGCCAGAATAAAAAAAGCACAAACCTTCAATTGTTACAGCAACTGTCAGGCCATTTCTCGAATACTCATTGGCATAGCTACAAATCTGATGTAATCCTGAACAATTACATATCAATGATAAACTACCACAATGCCAAAGTATTGGAACTTGGCTTTTAGTGCTTAAGGTATAAACAAGAGCGCTGGCAGCAAATTATAAATAAGGTCGAAAACCCGGTGAAGGAAGGGAACCGAGGCAAGAAAAATTTGATCGTCAGTTATTGACATGTTTTCTTTCCGCATGCATACAGAATGGGTATTATTATTATTTGTACATAGATTTATTGTTTCAGAAATAAGCCACCAAAGCTGTTCTTAAGGCTCAGCTATGAGGGGCAGAGATAGGAAATATATAGTAACACGCAAAGTAGAATCATAAGGAAGAGTACTGTATATCTAAAATCAGATAGCATAGTTTGCTTCAGTCCCACTGCATCAAATAAAGATGCAATTACACTGAATTTAAGTTTTGATACAACTTATGTTGGTTCAATTGTCAGTATTCATTTCTGCTTTGGAATTTGGGGAACAAAATTCAATCCAGACTTCTTTTTTCCCCAGTTAAACCAAGCAGGGCTTTAATGATATCCAAGCATTCAAAGTACTCCTTGCATTAAGAATTCAGCAATTGCACAATAAAAAGGTCACAATGACAAGAGGGAAAAGCCAGTTCTTTCCAAAATGATGTAACTGAGGTCATGCAACAGACAGGAAAAAAGCAAATCAGGGATATCACCAAGATTTCAGTCTCTGCTGATACCACCCATTGCTCACTTATGATCATCAAAGTCATCTGAGGGCTAGTGGTAGATAGCTGTATGAAGCTGCTGGTCAGGCCTGTAAGTTGGCTTCTCTTTCTGCCCCACAGCAACAATAATGAATTTATGAATGATCTGTCACCTGCGTATCTTCAATTTTTCATAAAGTGTCAATTTATGCGATGCTAGCTGCATCCACCAGGACATTGTGGTTCTGCTTATGGGAATGTCCACACTAAGGGCTCACCTTGGGACAATCAGTTCTAAATGGTACAGGGAGGCACTGAAAATCTCAGTTTTGTTGAGACAAAGCAAGAACAAATTACTTCAGTTGTGCCGAGATTTCATAATATTGCTTACTTCCATCTTAGGAGTAATAATAATCTACACTCCTGCTTCAGACTATTTGTTAGCCAAACCCTTATCTATCTGCTTAATATTACCAGATTAGATTTTTGCTATTTACTTCTAGAAGCATAAAGTGATACAGCAAAGATGGAAGCTATGTAACCCATTGTCACTATGCTCATTGTTTAATGAACTATCAATTATCTTCAATCTGTGTCCTTTTATGATTGATCCTCCTGTCACTATAAATAGCTCTCCTTACTTATTCGGATAAATACATTATTTTGAACAACTCTATCAAATCTTTGCATACCCTTCACCTCCACCTCAGTTTTCCTAACTCACACCAAGTCCTGTTCACCTAGCTCCATGCTTCCTGACTTCCAATAGCTCCCTGTCCAGCTGTGGTACAAATGAAAAATTCTCATGCACTCTTCTTCAAATTCTCTCACTGTCTCATTCCACTCAACCTGTGTAGCCTCCTCCAGCCATACCTTTATGTAATCTGCTTTCTTTTAATTTTTACCTCTTCTTTATTCCCAATTTCCTTCGTGCCACTATTGATGGTTGCGACTTCAGCTGTCTGGGCTCTAAACTCTAATTCTCCTCAAAGTCATTTACCTCATTATTTCCACCTATTAAGCCAATCTCTTCAAAGTTTTCACCATCTATCCTCTAACACTCTGTGGTATCTTTATACAACAAAGTTGTTGTTAGCTTTGCTTAATTGTCTATTTTGTACAGTTTGTTAATAGCACACTGATTAGCTTCCAACATCAGGCTGGGATTAACATAACTCTCGAGATAGCTCAGTGGTTAGCACTGCCGCCTCACAGCATCAGGGACCCGGGTTCAATCCCAACCTTGGGCAACTGCCTGTATGAGTTTGCACATTCTCTCTGTGTCTGTGTGGGTTTCCTCCCACAGTCCAAAGATTTGCAAGTTAGGTGGATTGGCCATGCTAAATTGCCCCGTAGTGTCCAGGGGGATTAGCCATGGGAAATGCAGTATCACAGGGATAAAGCGGTGGGAGGGGGGCTGGTCTGGGTGGGATGCTCCTCAGAGGGTCAGTGTGGGCTTGATGAGCCAAATGGCCTGCTTTCCACACTGCAGGGATTCTACGAAATGGGTCAAGCAAGTTCTAATCACCCTTTACAACATTCCTGCCCCCTCGTCTATCCATGAGACAGAGGTGATGTGTCCAAATCCAAAAGAAATATGGCAAAGAGAAAATTAAATATGCAAATTTTGTATACAGAATCCTGCTCAACTGCGCTTGATCTTTTCCGAAGATTTACAGTTGTGCTTCAACCAGATAATAACTGCTGGTGATTTACAACAGACATTCTAATAATCAGAAGTAAGTCTGCAATCAAATAGATTGCTTTATCGTCCTGACATTGGCATTATTCATTTTCAAAGAAGAAATTAAACAGTTCACCCACCAATTATCTGGTGACAGCACGATGAGAGTTTGTACTCTGCTGAGAGCGTCTGACTTGAGAAGTCATGTGGGAGTGGACAAGGAGAAACACTGGTGATTTCTGCAGGGAGAGAGGGGTGATCAGGTCACCGAAGATTGCTGCACGATACTATGCCGCTATTAGCAGTGGGCAACCAGTATGCAAGGTGAGGAATGGAGATATAGGGATTCGTACATTGAGGGGAAAAAGAAATCAATGACACCCAAAAGAAAGCAAATTTAGTGAAGTTGATTATTAGACTCCAAGCTAGACAATGAAGTGCAGAAGTAGGTGCAAATCCTTTTTCTGTCAGTTTGCTCATTTACAGAAGGCAGCATTATGTTTGCCTGTCATCAACCTACTAAGCGCTCCTCCTTAACCCAACAACTTCTCTAAGCGTTCCATTTACTTAATTAAAGATTGCACTTCACCTGGGTATTTTAACAATATAACTAATGTAACATCAACAGAAGGCATACAGGTGGTCCCCGATTTATGAAGGTCTGACTTAAGGGACTTAGCACCTTTCTCACACAGGGGTATATTGTGTGACCATTACTTGTACTTACGATGGCCATTTTATATTGCCCTCCATTGTGTTCTAACTTGTGTTCAAGGTGGCTTGTAAATGGACTCAAGAATGTAACCCATTCACAACCGCGGGGACTGTCAGTATTTTTATTTTATTCTCGTCACTGGCCAAAAGTTACCAAGAATGCATAAATCTGCAGCATGGGTCCAACTCAGGAATGAAATATCAGTTCAATACCACTAAGTGAAACCCCTGCACTTTGAGACGTTATAGAGTTATGCAGCATGGAAACAGACCCTTTGGTCCCACTAGTCCACGCCAATCGTGTTCCCAAACTAAACTAGTCCCACTTATTACCCAAGAAATCGTTCAACTCACAGTGAAGCTGACAGCTTAACAGCAGAGTTAATTTCAGTTTAACTCATCTAAATTATCTTCAATGTGTGATGGGAGGACTGCAAACTCATCTGAAAAGCACAGGAAGCCCAGAATCATACAATTTTGTGACATCCACTCCAATGCTTAGATAATCGTTAATTAAAATATGAGACGGCCTGCAGCTCTATAAAAAGCATTGACGCTGTAAAGATCCGGCCTACAAAAAAAGATGCTAGCATGTTAAATATTTATCACGTCTCCCACTTAATAATATTTTCCTCAACAAATTGACTAAAAATCTCAAACTCTGACTTCAGGTGCATCCAAATATGAAGCATCACTCACTGTTCAAACAGCTGGAAAGGCCACAGGATGGTTGGCATTTCTTACCTGACCAATGGCCAGTGGTGGTGCCAGATCTGTCCGTGCAGGTTTCACTAACTGGTTTGAAGACAGTCTCCCATCCCCCAGTGGAGTAGCGCCAGTTCTGTGATTCCAGGATGAGAGTGCGTTGGGTACCATACGCAATCATAAAGCAGTAGACGACATGATGCAGCTGACAGCCATAGCCACACCCCTTGTTGATGTTACAAACCAACTTCTTGGCTTTACTGCAGTCTTTGGGGTTCTGAAAACAGAATGAACAATTTAACAGTTAGAGCTCAAGAGTTAAACAAACTTTGCAGGGCAACTTCCCACCACATGGAAAAGGGTCCCACATGCATTCTCAACAACATCAATTTAAACAGTAGCTTAATATGGAAAAAAATTCAAAGGCCCTCCACAGGAGCGTCACTCAATAAAAATGGGAATCTCATGACATCAGATGATTTTAGGGGAAGTGGCCTTGCAATCAAAGAGAATGGAATGCCTTAAGAACAATGTGGCCATATGTTGATCTTTGTGTGATCTTTTAATAAAATTATGGGCAATGCTCTTGCTTAATTCCATTTTATCGCCCAATCCTGATATCCCCCGATTCCCAAATTCAAAAAACCTATCAGTTTCCATCCTGAGCATACTCTTGCACAAACAGAAAGAGATAGAAAGGATTACAGCAGGGAATTCCACAACGTAGGACCGAGGCAGATAAAGAATGGCCGCCGTTAGTGAGGTGAACGAAACTGCAGATGCACAAGGGACATGAATTGGAGGAAAGCAGACTTCAATGTGAGGATTGTCGAGCTGGAGAAGGTTACACAGGTTACAATTAGGGAGGGGCAAGCTCGAATGGAGGAAGTTGCTCACAAGCATCAGCATTTGGCACGAATTACTGCAGTCTTTGGAACAGGTTCTACTTATTTTAAATGAAAGAGAAAAGTTTTTTTTTAAATAACAAATTATACACTACCTGTTATGAGCACACTTCAATGGTAAAAGATCACAGAAACGAAAAATAAAAGTGCCATATTACCAGTGGAAAAATGTGACACTAACAGTTCAGTTTATATAGTCGTACCACTGAGAACCTGGGTTGGGACTGGGTAGAGAAAGTACAGAATCCATAAAGACGATGTAGGAAAGCGAAAGAGACAGGCGGCACTGGATATAATTGACCAGATCTGTATATTGAGCTTACAGCTTTCTTGGAATTGATGTACACATTACACCTTCCTTGATTTTCAGAGTAACATGGTAAATGACAAAATGAATGAAGGTGCATGAATTTGACTAGGAAAAAGAACTTTGAGGTAAAAAGAACGGCATTATTTATGGACGAAACATAAACACTGACCCAGTCAGTCAGAGATGGACTTGGCTACAGAAATAAAACGAGAAATAAGCTTCACATTGTGCAATGCTGTCCAGACATCTATATGCTAGTGTAAAATTTTTGATTTTGGTACATTTCAAGCATTCTGTTTTTGTTATTACTTAGACGGCAAATCATTAAGTAATTTTAACAGAGATTGCAGCATTACGGCACTATGAAAACTGTGTCAATATTTCCTATTGTGGCGATCTGAAAACTGGGAAAGGAAAGCATGAAAAAATATCAACCCGTAGTAATTTTTGTCATTTATCTTTTCTGTTTCATTGTGTTAAATATTAATAACTCGACATCTCTCACAAATTACAGATCCAAACTAACTATTAATTCCAATAAATTGGAATTCTCAGTCAGATACAACGTGAATGGCTTCCTTGTCTGTCACAAATGGCTATGATTCCAATGCTAATAATGCGTGCAATTCAAATTTGAAAGTAAATTTTAGTTTGAGAGAATAAAGTTGTTTATGTAAAAATAAACTGATAAAACAAGTTTCCATTCTCATTTATTAAATCAAAAAAGTAAAAAATGCAGTGAGGTCAAGATCCAATGTGGCCTTCAATTTGAGCAGATTTACAGGATGGGAAACAGTTACTTTGGGGTAACAGATGTAATCGATCCGCTGTTTTAGTCATATTTTGGGTTACTGTTTTCAATTAATACATTCATTTATTATATCCATGGTGTTGCTCATTGCAAGTCAGAGGGTTTGTTCTTTCTTTTCATAAGGATGTGTATGTTGTGTAAGAGTGAACCTTAGGGCCTCAAACCGACAGAAAATGAATAAGTCAATTCCTGTTCGTTAAAATGTATTCTGGAATGAGACTGGTTTCTTGGGGATTGAATGTCACATTCAATTAACTTCAATGAAGTGGCAAATCAGGCAGTTTGTCTGAAGGGCAGCCAGACCAATCTTGTCCATTTTACACCATCAGTGAATGTTAACATCACCCCCATGTGAGTCAATTTCACAACCCAACACACAATGCTGTCATTCCAAGCAGAGAGTTTTCCTGCGCAAACTCTTGGGACTCACAGGCTGAGATATTCTTTAAGAAAGCAGAATCAAGTCCTTAAGTAATTGTATTTATCATCTTTTATTTTAAAAATATCGAGAATGTGGACTTTATCTATCAGTTTATTTTTACATGAACAACTTTTTTTTCTCTCAAGAACTAAAATTTTCTTTGAAATTTGAATTGCAAGCATTATTGACATTAGAATCGTAGACATTTATGACACAGGAGGAAGCTGTTTACTTTGTGTCATTCTGAAAATTCCAGTTTATTGAAATATATTGCATGTGTATACATTTTGTGATTGGCACCTTCTTGATTGGTGAGCTTGCACTTTTCATTACTTGTATCCTGATCAATTCTATGTTCTATAAAATAAAAATAAATCAACTTTGGAACTATTTCCTTAAAAACTGGTCACTTAAAAGTAAATTTGGATCTATAATCAATATCAGAGGTTCTCACCTAGTTATTTCTTGAGATCTTTTCACACAGTATATCACTATTCTAACTGTAACATCAATTTTCCATAGTGTGGGTTAAAAACACATGGTCATGTTCAATCAGCCGTGACTGTATTAAATGATGGAGCAAGCTCAATAAAGAATAGACTGCTCCTGGTCCTGTGACACTTCCACTCAGTCCTTCCCGGTCTGAGACAACACTTGAGTTATTCAGTGATGGGCTATCAGTGGTGGGATATCAGTGGCATTATGTCACATAATACCATTTGTCTCATCATTCCCCCGCCACTGCCTCCATCCACTTTTCCATATGTCATGAGAAACAATACAGCAGCAGATCTGCTTCCTGAGTCGGTTTGTTTATATTCATTGAAGTGGGGAATGATAAAGCTGGGAAATACAGTATTTCCACTGTCTCCACACAGCATCAGCACTAAGGATTCTCATATACATCACAAAAAGGTCAACACTGAACTCCAGTGTGGCTAGAGATAAGAATGTATTTTCTCCAAATAATGAGCATGATAAATTCACTCTTCAGCAAAAGCTGCTAAGCCTCTAAGGGTCAGCTATATGCTCAATTGAAACTGATGAGAATATACGCAAGCAGTAAGTATGTTTGCACTGAACGGTCCACAGCAGTTCAAGATGACAGCTCACCACAACCTTCTCAAGGAGCAATTACGGATGGGCAATAAAAGTCTGAGATATCCACATCCCAAAGCGGAATACAAAGGTTCCTCATGTGCCATTAGGCTTGCAAATGTCTTGATCACTGTTGTCTGAAACTAGTCTCAGTTTAAACACGAGTTTGTAAAGTAAAATTAGCACTTTGGAGATAGTAGGAACTGCAGATGCTGGAGAATCTGAGATAACAAGGTGTAGAGCTGGATGAACACAGCAGGCCAAGCAGCATC